TATTAAATAATTCAAATCGGTACAATATTAAATGCTGATGTTGGATATGTACATAAAAATGTAACATTTAGTTGACGCTACTGATCATTAGATGACATTACAGATCTTTTATAACGGGATTTTGAGTTTTTTATAATTTAATGGGGGGTTTTTAATAGAGTGAACAAATTAAATGTTACATTTAGTTGACGCTACTGCAGCAGTCATCTAGTGATGACTGTTGTACTTTTAAAACGGGTTTTTGATTTTTGTTGTTTGTTTTTGTTTCGAATTTTATAAAACAAAGTAGCTTCCGTTTTCGATTTTGCGATTTTTCCAATATTTTTAATGGGGAATTTTTAAGCGGGTGACAAAAATACGGGTGTAGATGTAAACGAAAATAAATACTTTTTTTTCTCGTAGTCTGTACTTATTATTACCGATAATCACACTTGTATGCTTATTATATTCATGATATTGATTAATCTAATTATGAAAAAACAAATATTTATGCTTGTTGTCACGTGACCGCAAACAACGCGTCACGTTACGCCCTTCTTACTCATAACTCAGAAAATACAACCTTAATAAAACCAAATTTAATCAGCTGGCAAGTTGAGTGGCTAGTTCTTTAATTAAATACCGAATTTAATTAGTAGGATTAAAACTGAAAAAAGATTAAGTGGTGTAGTGGATGAATTTAAATACAAAAACTCATTGTAATGATTTTTAATCAATAAATATAAAGATTAGGTCAACCCGACCTTTGTTTCTCTTAACAAACTGTTTTTACACGACTGGTGTACATGACCCAATGCAGGATGCTAACGTTCACACCGATTACATAAGTGGGTTATGCTTAAACTTTCATAGTCTTTTTTCGACTCTCAATCACAGGGGTTCGGAACCACCCTCCCAATACCACACAGCTGGCTGTGTGGTTATGTCAGACTCCTACTGACTAAACACCGCCTTGGACAGTTGGTAACAGGTCCGGAGGCAACGAACTTTCGGCCGGAGTGACCGTCCCCGCGCAAGGGGGGGGGGGCGCAGACGTCTCTATTCACCTACATGAATTGTGACATCGAGATGTTAGCCGTTAACCTCCGGGGGCTCGGCTCATCAGATTGGAAATACAGCTGACTCCCTGAAGAGGAACGATCAACCGGCACATCTTGCACAAGCAAAGCGACCGGCTGTTTTAAACACTTAATACTCCAGTATAGCAGGCAAGTGTGTACACAGTACCCTCGGACCACATGGTCGAAGCCGCGGATTATAGCCAGTATAGTACAAAATCTGTTTCTATAAATAAATTAAGAAAGAAACATCTGCCACTCAAATAATATTAGTCAAATGAGAAAATACAAATCCATGAGAAATTTTCCATTAGCCAACAACGTAATTATTATTATATTTTTTCTTTTATTGTAAAAGTGTTAACGTATATGGCTTTATTACAATAGGATATAAGTTTATTATTTCTGTTAACATATCATAATGTTCCGGAACTAATTTTAGTTTTTAATAACGGATTCTTGAAACATTTGTAATCAGGGTCTGCAATTATAAACTTATATTAAATAAAATGTCTCTTATATATTATCTCAGAAGTGTATATTGCATATAAAAAAAGCGATAAATATTGCGTTCAAGAGTGACAGGCGTTGATAATATTTTTAGGTATTTGTATGTATTAAGATAGGAACCGATAAAGTCAGAGTAGTAGTAATAATTGTCTTAGAAAGAGATCTGACTTAAGCCGTGGTTACATACAGCTCACCATGCTATCGGTTTCATATATTTCATTTGAGATTAGGTACATACATCATCTATATCATATGTATATCTTGGAGTACCCGGGGCTGGTAGATTTGTATTTTTTTTTTATTAAAGTAGATTGGTTATATTAGCCCTTATCTGTGTGTCGAGCTAATAATAACGATAAATCTTTTTTTGCGCACATATAAAGCATAAAAAGAATTCAAGACTAATTTCAATTTGTACTTTACATTTTTATATAGATTTTCGCAGAGGTCTTTGTTGATAGGTCTTGGGATATTACCTTTTATTTAGAAACAACACGAGGAAGATTATTTCAACCACCAATCAAGCTTACAGGACAAGAATAACATTCTTTAGGGTTAATCTATTGCCTATAGTTTTATAACATCCACCACCGAGGAATTAGTAGGTGTGTAGAGTATGTGGAATGTATGAAAACCATAAAGTAAATTCGTGGCGCCACGCGACATGTGCTATATCACAAAACCAAATAGATAGACATAGGCTATTTGTGACTGGATGCATAGTCTGATGAACACAAAAGACTTGAGGAACCCTCAAGAGATTTGAGAAACTCGAAAAAAGAGTAGGGATGGAGATATGACTAATATCATACGGTCGTTTAGATAGCATAAAGATTCGTTCGAATCAATGAATGCTATATCGGTCATCCACATGTTTTTTATCCATTTTGTCTTAAAATATATCAATATGCATTGTGATATATCAATAAAAATTTATCAAATATAATATTGAAGTAAACCTCTTATGGAAATATGAAACAATGACAATTCTAGATATGAAAATTTTATATATTTATCCGACCGGAAAAAGAAATCCGGTCCACCGAAATGACCTCTCTACCACGAAGTTCGAGGTTACAATATTTTTCTTTGCAAATATCTGATTATGTTTTAGTACGAAATAAGTCATAAGTAAGCAAAGTCGTAACATATAAATGTTGATGTATCATTATCTAATCTGTGTCGGTATATAACATTGATGATGCTAAATGCACTTATCAGTTTCTTCTTATTCACGGTGAATTATGCATTATATCGTTGTTGGTGAAAACCCTAAGTAATAATTAAGTAAACCGTATTAATATGATTAAGTAAATGTGTTCAGTGTATACAATTGTATACTAATTGTTTTTGAGAAGTTCATATAAATGTGTATAACATTTAGTAATTCATTTCTCGATACCAGACTCGCCACCCTAAAAGGTATATCAAGAAATCTTTTTTTCTTAAAAACAAACAAAACAAATAAAATGCGCGTCTGTCAAAATCGAACTAATAATAAAACAGACAAGTGAGCTTTGCTAAACAGAATCCCTGTTGCAGTACGGTAGTCCAAACAACTTGTTTCTTTTTAGTTCAAGTTTGGCAGTCATTTTTTATACTTATAATAACGGATATTAGACGCGATTTTTACAATGACCTGCGCCGACGTTTAATACACGTTATAATAAGTATTTAATAATGCAGCGCGTTAGTTTAAAAGTGAATAAAGTCGTGTTTTAGTTTTAAAATATTTATTTTATTCGTTTTAGACTTAATTATGCACACAAATTTATATTTTTGATGCACTTATCAGGATCTTTAATATGACATCCATATTGCTATAATTAAATTAAAAATCATACATCCGCCATATTGAATATTTTAGAAAAATATACGAATATATAGTGTCACTCAGGATGACATAACATTTATATTTATTAATTCATTCGAAAGTTATAGCCTAATAAAAAACTCGTTTACATACATACATTAACCCTAAACACGATACATTCCTTATTTAAGCAGTCGTGTAAAAAATATCTAAAAGTGATTTCTCAATGAGTATTTAACAACACTAGTATTGTATTCGGTATTAATTTTTTTATGGAACATCTCTGATATGGAATATTGAAATTTCCCCTGCGATTGTTCTTAAAAAAATAAATTGACTTTCAAATAATCCAAGCGAACTTGCTAAAAATTACAAATTACCAAACTATTAGGAACAATTTATGAAGGAATTATATTTCATAATTATATTATATTAATCATATTCTACATTTGGTAATTCCTTTATTCCCTATGAATAAGTAATCGATTATATAAATCTATTACTTAAATAATATTTGTAAAGTGAGAAAATACAAATCGATCAGAATTTTCCGAAGGTCGTAACAATGTTATTCTTTGCAATAATGTTTTTTAAGACATAAATCATACGTAAGCAAAGTCGTAACATATAAATGTTAACGTAACATTATCTAGTCTGTGTCCCAGTGTAACATTGATGGTGCCATTTAAAAGCATCGAACTCATCAGTATCTCGTTAGTCACGCTGCTAAACATTATGTATTAATTCGTTGTTAGTGAAAACGCTAAGTAGTAATTAATTAAACCGTATAATTAACATGATATAGCAAATGTGTTCAGTGTATACAATTGTGTATTGTTTTTGAAATGTTTATATAAGCTTATTTAACAATATTCAGTAATTAGTTTCTTTTCTAAAAGTATATCCTAATTAAATTAAAAGGTAATTATTAGTAAAATTAAAAGGTGCCAAGTAAGAATTTAACGACACTAGAATTGTAGCTCACTAATTTTGTCGTAGGCACGATCACGATTGGATTCCGTACCCAAAGGATAAAAACGGGACCCGGGAACGGGACCCATTATAAAGACTTCCCACTCCGTCCGGCCGTCTGTCATCAGACTATCTATCGTAATAGTGAGACAATTTTCATAGATGATGAATTTCTGTTGCCGCTTTAAAACAAATAAAAATAAATATTTAAGGGGGACAATCAATGTGATGTTTTGCAGTACCCGTCGTGCACAAGTCCAATTCAAAGTTGGCCGGCTTTTTTTTGTAACTCTCCCAAAATATCTTTTTCAAATTGTTTTAATAACATCCCCTCGGTTAGTTAGTTTTCTAAAACCAGTTTTTTTGGTAAGGCATTACATATTTCCACACGATTAAGACAGAGTGTGAAATTGTGTAAGATTTTCTAACCTCTTTCGTAAGCAGACACTTTATTACGCTGCTTTTAAAATCGTCAGCTGCGGCATTTAGGATTACTGTAGGTTACAGCTATATTATATAGCTATTTTAAAAGTTCAGTATTTTGAAAACAGAACTAAATATTTTTTTCCCAGAACCGTAATTTTTCTACGAGGATTGTAATACGTTTTTATAATAATAATTAATCGGCAACCGTTTTTGTTTACAGAATGCTATCATTTTATGTTTTAATTATTTTATTAATAGTATCATTTGTGGTATGCGTGAAAGTCAGTCCAAGAGAGAAAGATAGTAAACGCAATATTGTATTAATCGTCGCCGATGATTTGGTAAGTTAGAAAAATGGGACTATTTAATTAGGCACCAAGTTGCAAAAACGTCCATTAAGTTTTAATGGCGACTTTAAGGTCCAATGAATGTTCTAAGTATAAAAATTTGTATCGGTAATGACACCTTCAAACTCATGACAATTTTAATAAATGTAATACTCGTACTAATAACCACGATAAACATATTTTGAATAATGATCTTCACAATTAAAGAAATAAATTATAATTATTAAATAACGCAAATAAAGCATTTGAGTCTGCATATCACAGATATAGGAAAGTTTAGTGGTTTCAGGGTTGGAATGACGTCAGTGTGCATGGTAGTGATCAAGTATTGACGCCCAATATTGACTCGCTGGGTTACCATGGTGTCACATTGGGGAGGTACTACAGTAATTGCATATGCACGCCTTCTCGCGCCGCCCTACTCTCCGGCAAATATGCATATACGACAGGTAAAGAAAAATATGAAGATGTTGTGAAAATTTTATTACTAATTAAAAGTAAGAACCTAATCTTCTTTGTAGTATTCCCATTGCTGAGGTTTGTGATAGGTTTGTTACATAAGAGCTCTCCATGTAGTTCCATTTTCAGTTTCCGGACAAATAATTGTATGTTTATGATCATCCGCGACTTTTTTCTTTCATGATCTACGTTACACTTTTTGCTGCTACACTGTATACCGTTATTAATCTAAACTACTTACTTATTTCCTTTCTATCATTTACGCGTCCCGTAATTTTGTCCTCAATTTATTTCTTTGTTCATCCTCATTCACATTTTGACAATTCTGTATTGTTGCAAAATTTATTGATTCCTCTTATTACAGGACCATCTTCATTGTTTGCTTTAAAGTGTTTATTTCTTCTATGTATACATATGTAAAAAAAATCTTTTTTTTTAATTTACAGAGTATTTATACCTTTTCTACCTTTTACTTACATTTAATTTTTACTCCCTTATGTTTTTTACGATCTTATTACCGTTCTATATGTCCTTATAATATTTAATATATTTAGGAATAGCTTAATTAATCTTTTCTTATTTAAACTCTCTGTGTTCAACAGGTATGCAAGGCTGGCCATTGACTGGCGGTGAGGATAGAGGTCTTCCCGTCACACATAAAATATTACCGCAATATTTGAAAGAGCTTGGCTATGCTACACATTTAGTAGGCAAATGGCATGTTGGTAGTTCTAGAGAAGAGTATCTGCCAACAAAAAGGGGCTTTGATTCACATTTTGGACACAGGCTAGGAAGTATAGATTACTACGAATACACTTACGAAGAGAATGTGAGTTTAATAGTATTACTGCTGTAGTTTCCCACTGTGTGTAAAATATCATCATCATCATCAGCCCTTTCACGTCCCCACTGTAGGGGCTCAGGCCTTCCTTACTTCCAGGCGTACTTGCTTCGGCAGTACATATACCAAAATTGGAACTGAATATTCATTACCTGCCACACAAAAACTTTCACAGCACTTTTTATTGTTCACATTCACACTTAGGGAAGCCAGGCCTTCGATGGGAGTCTTAAAACCATTCCAGCTTTCTAACATTGCAGAGATTCTTTTCAAAGGTAAGGATTTTAATGACTTTTCTTGAATTTACCTGTGCTTTGTAAGTTGAACGACACATCTTAGCAAAATGATTTCTTTTATTACATTTAGTACAAGTTTTATTATAAGCAGGACAATTGCCATATCTATGTTTATATCCACAACTTGTGCACTCAATGATTTTAGAAGATGCAGTGTTTTTGTTTATAGCATTTATTTCACATTTTTGAATTTCGTTTACTTGCTCGGTCGTCAATTCAGATATTCTCAAAGCCTTAATAGTGTCTTCCAGTGTGGGATCTCCTTTCTTTATCATTTTCTTATGACAATCTTTGTCACTCGTGCCTAAAATAAGTTTATCCCGAACCATCGAATCTTTGTATTTTTTACAGAAATTGCAATTGCCTGCCAGTAACTTCAAATCAGTAACGTAGTTATCAACTTGTTCACCTTCTTTTTGGTTTCGGTTGTAAAATAGAAATCGTGAATGCAGTATATTATTTTTTGGATTGCAGTATTCATCAAAAGTTTTTAGAACTAAATTCAATGATTTTTCCTTCTGCTCAAATGTATTATATAAATCTAAGGCTTCTTCACCTATAACGTTCAAAAGTATAGCAATTTTGTGTGGTTCAGAGGCATCCTGTAAGCCACATGCTTCAATATACACCAGAAATTGTTGCTTAAATCTTTTCCAGTTTTCACTAATATTACCTGACAAGCACAATTTTCAAGGTACCAAATATCCAGTGGCCATTGCGTAAATTATAGCTGCGCCATGTGTTAAGGTTGAATAAATGATAGATTATCTTGATATGATTACATTTTTATTTTTACTTGTATCTCACAATAATCAAAGTATGGCTCTTGCATGTCCTGTGTCACAGAGTATATCGACACTACTTAACCATAGATTATAACACACAGATGGTTAAGGAGGATGGGCCATGACCCTCCACGCTGGCTCAATGCGCATTGGAGGACTGTAACTAATTATTGAAAATGCAGTTGGGACCAACGGCTTAACGTGCCTTCCGAAGCACGGAGTAGCTCGAGATAATAATTTTTTGGTCACCCATGCCGTGACCGACCCTTGCGAAAGTTGCTTAACGACAACGATCGCGGCCCATGGCGCTTATGTGTAACATATACATGTGATTTATATATTTCATATAACAATTTCTTTTTGTGTTAATAATTTGTTACTGTAGGGAAGAGTATACTGAAAATGCCGATGCAAATATTTTGTAAACAGTAGTAGAATGATATAACATTATATTGCTTAGCGTAATATCGAACAGTTCAGCTCACGCGGTGTCCATTTGCGTTGCCAGGCTGTTAATCTGTGGGACGAACAGATTATCCACGGTTTTATTTTTTGACTGATTAGTTAGGATTTTCGTTATGCAGTAGAGCCTCTCTAGATCAATTTCTTATAGAACTAACAAAACACATAACAGAGAAATAGCTGCACTTACGTGCAATCCAGAGTAATTTTACTACATGTTTTTCGAATCCTAAATGAATTTTGATTGAAGTAAAACCGTTCATTTATTGACGGCAAAACTCATCTCAGCTACATCACAACTTACCATGATGTGGGGTATTGTTTTGTTCTGTCGCTGTTTAAAAACTCATATCTTCTTAATAATATCAAAGATGCACAAAATCTCTAAATAAATTCATATTGCACACTAATCTTCTCATATTAAAAACCACAACTTCTTGACATGGTGCTTGTTTTATCTATTTGATGTAAGGATTTTCCAAAATCGGCACTTTCAGTCCTCTTTCCTCTAATCTAACACAGATTTCATGGATAATTCTTTAGTTTTTATTTATTTTGTAACGTTTTGTTTTACTACACAAACTGAATACTGATCAATGAGATTCATAAGTATAATAAGCAAATAAAATTTACACCCGGTTTCTAAATTGAGTATTTGAAGATAAGCACGTCTCAAACTGTACTTAAACTGGTTTTCGTTTTTATTTTAGTTTTTTTTAATGAGCAATTTGATAAAACTACGACTATTTGACTAGTGAAACGTAAAAAACTTAAGTTATTGAGAATATTAGTAAAGACTGTGTACTTTTCTCAATTCAGAAACCAGCCGTTAGACCATATTTTAAAATTTTATCGACGCAAACCTACTGTTCATTAGATGAGCTCATAAAGAAATCATCGCTTGTTTTATGTTTTGATTAATAATTATGTGTGGAAAACAATATAATAACAAGAGCTCATATCTTTTATATTCTGCTCAAATTCATATGTATTGTGCATTTCTACTAGGATTCTCACTTCTTTCGAGACTTTTATATCGTTGTCAATTTGAGTTTCGTATTTTTTCACTCATAACCTTAGTTCTTAAGTAACTTATTATTATACAGCAGCACGCGTAGCATGACAAACTTGAGAAACGCTATGTCTACACCCAAATGTCACATTCTCGGGTCAAGAATGAGATATCGTATGGGCGCACCCGAGAAAGTGACATTTGGGTGTAGACAAAACGTTGTTGCTACGCGTGCTGGTGCTATGTTGTTGATGGGTAGTTATTTAAAAATATTTTAACTATTCAGTGGACAATTGGCAAAGTCTCCGGGATGAATATGTTCAGAAACCAAACAGCGGCGTGGGATGCTGAAGGATACGCAACGGACTTGTATAACAACGAGGCTATTTCAAGTAATTATTATTCATTATTAGCCCTGTTACGTCCCCACTGCGGGGGCTCAGTCCTTCCTTATGGATAGTTAAGGAGAATTATTATTATTTGTTTCTTATAATTTTGCGTTGTGGTGACGGCAGAAGAGAGTTCAACTGTCACCACCCCTACTTTTTCCACGAGTGTCGTAAAAGCCGAGAAAGGGATTACACTCCAAGCAGAGAATGAGTAGCAGCGCTCTTTGTTAAATCATATTTTTGCCGAGCGTGGATATTATGACAAAACTCTTCACTAACGTGGAGGAGGTCTTTAGTCCTGTAGTGGACTATTATGGGCTGGTAGTATGGTTTTTAATGATTTCCTTCGTCCTGTAGAGGACTGTTATGGGCTGGTACGATGATCTTATTGATCAGGAGTAAATACAACTTAAATATGTAGTATATTTTAAATACAAGTACATAACTGAGAAACATCCAAATTGCTAGATTTCATAGTTTCACGGTTAAAGCAATGGATATGCGCAATATAATGCTTGATTTTATTAAATATACAAGTACTTACTTACATGTTCTTGAAGCATAAAGAAATATTGGTTTTTATTACAGTCATTAATTCCCATGATGAAACTAAACCACTTTTCCTAATGTTGGCACATCTCGCTCCACACAGTGCCAATGAAGGCGCATTACTTCAAGCGCCTCCTGAAGTAGTTAGATCTATGAGACATGTAGAATCACCAGAAAGAAGAATTTTTGCAGGTAACTAACTCATGATATTGTACATTAAATTATAGCAAATAAAAAATTAAATAGAAATGGAAGTTTCTATAGAGAATTAAAAACGTTACCATAGTAACCACTGTTTACTGTTGAATTTGGTATTATAATGATATCCGTGTCATGGTATAAGTCGATATCCAAATAAACAGTTTCCTAGGGACCGCGCGGGTAAAGCCACTGGCGTAAAGCTAGTTTAAAATATATAGAATATTTCACACAATTAAGAAAAGCTTACTATTTTAGCTATGGTAAAGAAACTCGACGACAGTGTTGGCGACGTCGTAGAGGCATTGTCAAGAAAAGGCATTTTGAATAACACTATTATCGTTTTCATATCCGACAATGGTGGTATGACATCAGGAGTGACTGTTAACTATGGTAGTAATTATCCTTTACGAGGTATTAAATTAAGTCCTTATGAAGGAGGAGTAAGAGTAAATGGAGCAATTTGGGCACCTGAAAATGTGGCGAGTCATTTGTATGAAGGGTATGTTCACGTAACAGATTGGCTGCCTACCTTACTTAAAGCGGCTGGAAGAGATCCTCCGAAAAATATAGATGGTCATGATTTATGGAATAAAATAATGAAAAACAAAGTTTCCAGTAGAAGTGAAATTGTAGACATAGACGATATGCAAGGTTATGCATCAATTATCTCTAAAAATTACAAATTGATAACTGGCACAGTGTTTAATGAATATAGCAACTATCAAGGCAAAGAATTATTGGGAGTCATTGGAAACCCTCCATGCTATATCGATGCGATTAAAAATAGTAAAGCCTACAAGGTTTTTACAAAAATGGGCAGATCTGTGCCAATTGATATCAGTAGTGTAAGAAATGCATTAAAAATTGAATGCCAGAAACAAATTAAAGCAGATGATGTTATATGTTATCCTGGCAACGGTAAGTTTTGTAACAACTAAACTATTTCTCTCTTATTATCCAATTGCTGATTTTATTTATTTTTTTTGCAGGAACAGTCTGTTTATATAATATTAAAAAAGATCCATGTGAAACTACAGATCTGTCTAAAGAATATCCCGAACTTGTAAATAAAATGCTCAAAGTTTTGAACATTGAAAAGAAAAGAGTAATACCAAGAGTTCCGACTATAAGACAACCTAGAGCAAACCCTGTTTATTTTAACTACACTTGGGACGTATTTGTGGATGTGGTTTAATTATAAAATGGCATAGGATAACATATAGCAAGTTGAAATTGGAATTACAAAATTACATATTTCTGAAATAACGAGTGAGATAGGAGAGTGGATATACTAGGCGCGTATCTCTAGCTTTAGACTGTCTTCCACATGTATTAATTGTAACATATTGTTTGATAACATTTTTCGGTTAAAGTTTTGTCAAAACAAATAGCTAATAGATTACAATGACATCTCGATTTCACGCGAGCAATAGCTATGTAAATAGAGTTCCTCAGATATCTTTATCTGCCTCCGCGAATTCTTTGTTTCTAACGACAGCACATTTGGAAGTGCTTTAAATTCATGCCATTTTTCAGATGTCACTCTAAGTATTCTCTCACTCAACGTATTTAAGTACCACGTTCAGTTGAATCGGTTAGTCATCAAAATAAATAGGATCGTTAATGAAACACTCCGACCATGAGAATTAGAAATAAATTCATTTAAGCAGATGAATTTTTAAATACACAAACTGTTCTGTATGTGCTTTAAGAATCAAGTTTTATTAATATTTTTGAAGTTTTATAGTAATGAAAATAATACCAATACAATAAAATGTTGACTTGAATATAATTCGTATTTTTATTCCAAAAATTATAAGTGAGTCAGTGAAAATCCTATTCTATATTCATTAAAAATAATATATGACTACACATTAATACAGTATACTGTGATATTACATATTTAATAAATAAGTATTATAATTCAATACAAACAGTCGTACTTGCTGGTTCTCCATTGTAACTTGTAAAGTTTAGAAAGAGAATGCAGGGCGTTGTGTGTGCGTGGTAATATCTTGGTTCTGTGATTCTCACGTTGTAGTCACGTAACTCTATTTAGAACACACTGTCAAATGTTTTATACGTTTGATTCTTGAGTCCTTCACGCATCGAGTTTACAGCTGCTGGAGCATCAGGCAGTCACGGTATTGCAGTGCTTTAATGACGGTCTACAAAGCATAGTACGGTAATGTGTTTACGCGGTAGCTCGAACGCGGTCCTGAGCGCATTAACCTCTGCTGGAGCGATAGTTGAGATACACGCTCCTGCAGTTGTAAAATAAATAAATATAATTTGTTTAGAACTTAAATATTTTAAAATTATACTAATAATTTATGGGAGTATATTATTTGATGTTGTGACAGGGCCGTATTTTAAATAGAATAGCACGACTGAGTGGTTATTAAACCTTTCAGTAGTTTTCAATGGACCACCTAAGTTGTAGAAACGTCCATTAAAATTTAGGGAAGACTTTAAACCAGTGAATATTCTAAATTTGAAAATATGTATAGGTAATGAAATTATGTATCATTACCGATACATAATTTCAAATTTAGAACGTTCATCAAAGATTACATAGTCGTCATTAAACCTTAAAGTTTGTTCAATTGACCGTATATAAATTTATGCTGAGACTGCTCTTCGTATTAGTCAAAATTCATATTTTATAAGAGACTTAACAAAGGTTAACCTAGTACGAGGTTCTACGGGAGTAATATTTGCTCCTAGAAGGTAGTAGATTTGCTTATTCCCTGTGTAATATGAATATGGATTAATACTAAAATTGCAATTTTAGCGTAAATTTACTTTGACGCTAAACCTTGTTTATAAGTAGCAATGTAAAATTGTAAAATTTAGTGGACGTTTGTTCATCAGTTAAAAGTAAAATATAATATTTAGGATCCAAAATTATTTATACAATTAACTTTAAAGACAGGGTATAACGTTTTTCACAGTAATTATCTACTATACCAAAATGTTCAAAGGAGGGGAGAGACAAAGTACCTAAATTGTGGTAAATTTTTACCGGTAATACATAAATATTTTAAGGAGCCAGCCTCGGGAAACAACTAAGCCAACAAGAATTATTCATGATCAGACTGAGACTACCAACCTTATTGTAAAGACTTGAGGAACTAATTTATTTAGAGTTTAAACGATAAATTTAAGTGTCAACCCTAAATATTACTTACGTACTTTTCTTTTGTAAGGCGTATGATAAGATGGAAACTGAGACCAGGAAATGGTTTTATTTAGTGATATTGTTAAAAGTAATTGCAAATTTATTGATGTTTGTGAAATCTTTCATTTTGGGAAAAGGGTACTATGAAATGACTGAATTGTAAATAACCTAATTAATGAATCTTGAAATAGGTACGTAGTACCGAAAAGGTAATGAAATTGTTACTTATATCTGCCATAATTATTGAAGAGGAAAGTACAATCATAATGATTTTAAGCGAGTTAGTTAAGAACATAAACATCGAAAAGAGAGTAAATTTTCAATTAAAAAAGATTTGTTAGAAAAATAAGTTTACATTTTCTACTTATACGTAACTAGCTGTATTCTTTTTACCATATCCGCGTAAATTTTGGCCAGTAACAGTTTGGCTACCACAAAATATCAAATTTCTACAAACGGTACACTCTTTTAAAATTTATTAACCTATTATATTTGATTAATTTTATATTCACGATACTATTCTGGAAAATATTGTTAATGAAACTATAGCAGCTTTTATATTTATTTCACCAAATTCCAATCTAACTTGTCATTATATAGAGTAGTCTGAGATGGGAGTACCAGGGACAAGTGGATTTATTAATCATTTTTCATTAAGAATTAATTAATCTAGTTTAATTCTTAGTGGATCTTTGAAATTGTGCATTTTGGCTACTCTATATAATGACAAATTAGATTGGAATTTGGTGAAATCAACAATAATAAGCAGCTATGTTATTAAAAAGAATTGAACTCGACCTCTGTGATAACGTTGAGTTTTCATAATTACCTTTTAAAGTAGGATCTATTTGATTGAATCTCTATACTATTGAATTAGAAATAATGGAATGAAACCTTTCCCACCGAATCTCATTAGAAATCCAAATTAAACCAGCTTGGAATGGACTGGTTTGTCCTGAAACTGCTGACCCCCAATATCTAAACAATGAAAGCTGTGTTGCTAGTATAGGATCCCGCTATACAACGACCTTCACCGAGCTGGTTAATGGATGAAAGATATTCTTTATCAAATAAAATAAGTCAATAAATATATTGCGAATGGGTTGTCTAAAAAATTTCAGTCCAGAATATGATTAATTAACAATTAAAAAAATTTTTTTTTTTAAATTACACTGGCTTGGTTAATGAACAAATTCCATTCCAATCGAAAATATGAAACCTATAGAATATACAAACATTAGGTTGACTATTTATTTCCCGTCACAACTCTTAGGTAGGCAGGTATAAACAGGTAAATCGATAACAGTAACTTGCACCGGTCTGATTATTGAATGAAACTAAAATAAAAATAAAGATAATTTTATTACGAACACGGTGGTATAGGGTTGTCTGCAAAAAATCAGTCCTGAATTGCGGTTGTTGAATTTTAAAAAGTGAAATATTGCTGCGAGTGAATATGTGCGACAGCGAGGTCCCAGCAAACCATCCCATGCGATAGAAGAGGACACAGCATTGCAGCTGTCTATAGTTTGTTGGTTGAATGAAAGAGAGCGCGCATGCTATTTGTCGGTGAAAACGAAAAGGATAGCGATAGACTAGTAAATGCTACGCGTCATTTTGGAGTAGATTGTCGCTACATTTGTAATTGAAAACACGTGCTACTATTTATTATTGTAAAAATGGCTAAAAAGTGTTTTTTGTGTGATTCGGATGATGGTGTTATTGATTTTAATGATGGAACTTTTAAAAACTGTTCATTAAAGTTAGCTTTTCGTAAAATTAAAAACTTCAAATACAATGTTGTTGAGCTAACTTGTGCATCACTCGATTTTATAGGTTACCATACCACATGTTATAAAAAAGTGACTGCCTTGAATATAAAATATAATGAAGAATTTGAAAATTTTAGTGCTGAGAATACTGTAAGTACATAATAATTGAATATTTAAAATTATTTTCAATACTTCTACATTTTTTTCATGATGAAATAATTGTTACTAAAATTCACCTATGATTTTGTAAATTTTTGAGACACAATTTTTTTAATTAACTTAAAAAATTGTTGTTTATAATATAAACAAGAAAATTATCTGATTTTTGTACTTTTTGTAACATAATTAAATATGAATGTTTTTATTCAACTATTCAAATTAAGAAATAAGATTAGGAATAGAATTAAGAATAGAAGATATTGTCGAAACAACTGAAACAGAAAGCGATGACGAAGAATGTTCTGACATTGAAGATCACATTTACATGTCTGATGACTCGGATCCTGAATAATTTGAAAATTTTAAAAACTTTTGTATAATATATACACACATATGTAATTAATTTATAAAAATAAATATTTAAAAAACATTCTTCTATTTTAATATTAACCTACTCCAAAATGACGCGTAGCATTTACTAGTCTATCGCTATCCTTTTCGTTTTCACCGACAAATAGCATGCGCGCTCTCTTTCATTCAACCAACAAACTATAGACAGCTGCAATGCTGTGTCCTCTTCTATCGCATGGGATGGTTTGCTGGGACCTCGCTGTCGCACGTATTCACTCGCAGCAATATTTCACTTTTTAAAATTCAACAACCGCAATTCAGGACTGATTTTTTGCAGACAACCCTATACCACCGTGTTCGTAATAAAATTATCTTTATTTTTATTTTAGTTTCATTCAATAATCAGACCGGTGCAAGTTACTGTTATCGATTTACCTGTTTATACCTGCCTACCTAAGAGTTGTGACGGGAAATAAATAGTCAACCTAATGTTTGTATATTCTATAGGTTTCATATTTTCGATTGGAATGGAATTTGTTCATTAACCAAGCCAGTGTAATTTAAAAAAAAAATTTTTTTTTAATTGTTAATTAATCATATTCTGGACTGAAATTTTTTAGACAACCCATTCGCAATATATTTATTGACTTATTTTATTTGATAAAGAATATCTTTCATCCATTAACCAGCTCGGTGAAGGTCGTTGTATAGCGGGATCTTAGACTATGCGCTGCTACGCACTTACATTGAAAGCCCTTGTATCAACTGGATATCGAACCTAATACTGTAGTGATGAGGTCACCTTGAAACCCGCGTTAACCACTTGCATTAAGAGGTCGTCTACATTAGATGTGAGTCTAATCGTTATATATGGATTCATACAATGTGTCCAGCTATCGATTTCAATCATTATCACCCGGGTGATAGAGCAGTAAGTCTGTCCATTATCTACTGTCCTCAATAACATCGATAAATCAGATGCGTCTAGTAGATATAACGGTCATCTCGGAGTAAAATCGAGGCTATTAATTTTGTTAAATTTATCAGTCTTATTATAAAACTAGGACTAACTTTAGTACCAGTTTGAAACCATTATCCAACCAAAATAAGTCAACATGTCTCAAATTGACATTAACTTTTCTATTATTGTCAATTTGCTTTAGGCGAAAAATGTAAGGTTAGTCTAGACTAAATATTAACTTTGTTCCTCGAATTATAATAAGACAGCATAAAAGTAGAGCAGAGTAGAGTTAAAATGCTTAAATAGTCCTGGTTATACTAAAAGATTTCGTAAGAAATTTAAACTATTTACTTATACTGAAGCGAAATGAAAATATTCTATATTCAAAGCTCATTGAAATAATTTTCATATGTGTATAATATTTTTATTTATAATATTTTAGACGATGAGAGGAAAGATATTTTTGCAATATTTATTTAAGAGATCCTCTACTCATTTGTAGGAAGGTAAATGGTGCGGATTGCTCTCTTTCGATTCGAAGTAATATAAATAACGTATGTGTTGCAGGACCCCATGAATATAGGTCATAAATCATTACGCTATGGATATTACTAACATACACCAATTTTGCCGTTTAAATATATTTCAAGAGTATAGTTTAGAACTCAGTCTACTTAACAATTCATCAATATAAGGATTCCAACAGATTCTAGCTCATTGCAGTCAATTATCCAGTGCAATAAAGTAAAAAACTTTGATGAATATATAGAAGACATATGGTTACATCTTAAAAATAAGCCTCCACATATATAAAAACAATCTGATGAAATTAAAATTATAGGTATTAGTAAAATTATTTTATAGCTCATAATATGTGTATATAGGTAAGAATCCACTGTAAACACACGTAAGCTAAGACATGTTTATCGATAATTTCAGTAGGAAATTAATATATTCTTAATATGTCTTGTCGTGTTATTGAAAAGGTTGAATCAACTATCGTCATTAAACTTTGTATTGAGTTCGTTAAACAAATTACTAATTCTAATTAATACGCTGCTACTTCTTCGTACGTGCAAAGGCAGTACGAAGCAAAATATTTTTCTAACGAAGTTTTATGTTTGGGATTTCAATTTGAATTTTGCTCAAGAGATCCGAACTATCTATCTTTGAGCAATGTTAAGTAGGAAACAAATATCAGTGATTTACGATATATAATTTTATTTCGACATAAATCCAATATGGCGGACTACGAGTTTGAGACGTGCCGTCTGCCGGGCGCAATGATGTAGACAGAGACAGTCTTCTGGCTATACGCTTCATCGCTTACCCTACTCTTACGTTTTTAACATCATAGAACATAATTAATTTTAGTAAAATTTTCACTTTGTACATGTAATGCCAATTATTATTATGCTTATGTGAATATGATAGTCTGTTGCGTCTATTGTGTATCAAACTTAAATAAGACGTATCTCATGATCAATACCTGTGCCCAGTAAGCTTCATTTTCCTATCGATTCTGAGATAAAGATGTATTTGCAATTGAGTAAATTGATACTTTATTACATCTCAGACTTTTATAGGTAGGTGTTAGCTTATTGTCAGTATAAAACGCATAGTAAACTTAACAGAATACTAAGGAAAAGCAAAAACAGGCAATACTTGGTTTTACATTAAGCATTTACGAGTAGAACACATTTTATGACTGAAGCAAATGATACTTGCTAAGATTAGTTTATTAAATTATACAATGGCTTATATAAATATTTATTTATAGTTGGAAAACCGGTGCGACACATTTTAGAGAAAGACGAATTGATTAATACATAATATAATAGTGCAGCACTTCAATACCTATACAGGGTAATTTTAAAATACCAACATCATAGCAGGACTAGATAGCATACCCATTGGGCATACCTACATAAACATAGACTTATATATATGGAGACAGTACGATGAAAACTTTAAAAAATATTTTTAATTAAAGCATTGTGTTGCGTAGTGGATAAGTGCCGCGGTCCGCGATCGTTGTCGTTAAGCCACTTTCGCAAGGGTCGGTCACGGGATGGGTGACCAAAAAATTATTATCTCGAGCTACTTCGTGCTTCGGAAGGCACGTTAAGCCGTTGGTCCCGGCTGCATTTGCAGTCCTTAATACCCTCCAATCCGCATTGGGCCAGCGTAGAGGGTCGTGGCCCATCCTCCTTAACCATCCATAAGGAAGGCCTGAGCTCCTGCAGTGGGGACGTAAAGGGGCTGATGATGATGACATTGTGTTGTGGTAGCTACTAGTTTAACCGTAGTTGTTTATTGTATTAGCTATCGAATACTCCGAGATTGTTGATGTTTTACAATTAATTATAATTGTGATAAATTCATTTTACGGCACACAACAATATAAATTCCGAGTGAATATTTTGACTTTTAAATTATTTTACAGCTGCAATAACATTGAAAACTGCGTATGACTGATGGCACATCTGAAAAAAAAAAAACTATACTTAATTGAATATACACTATTGTACTTATATATATATATATATATATATACTTTGGTTTGCATTGAAAAGCGGGGTTTACTTAGAAATAGGAATATTGTGACAAATTCGAGTTTTATGTCAATCCGGGTATGAATTCATCATATTGCGCTTTCTGTAGACATTTTTGCAATATGTTATACTACGAGTAATATAGTATTTAATTTTAACTGAATATGAATGCGATCAGTGATACGTCTACTAATTACTGTATCATATAAAATTGATTCATTTTATTTGTTTAAAGCAAGTGTTAGAATTTTTTGAACCAAAATACAACATTTTTAAAAGATATGAACCTTCCCATTCATAAAAATTCTGATGATGACCGAGTGTACGATAAAATATATAAGAAGTCTTGTTTTAATAATCATAAAGTGTAAAATGTAACACTTTAGGTGCCGGCCCCACTCTCCCTTGTAATCAGGCGCGTGGATTTTGGTGGAGATCTCCATGACGCGATACTTGAATTGTTCTGATTGGCTAATATTTGGCGCACTTTGAAAATTAGCCTGCTGCGCAGGTATATTAGTGAGCCCCATCAGTTGTATAGTACTGTACTGAATATATTCTCTACTTTTCTCATCATTACCAGCCTATTAATATCCACACTGCTGGGGCTCATGCCTTCCCTATGGATGGAATCGAATCGAATTGAAGAAGGTGAATGGGCCATGACTCAGCAACCAGTGCAGATTGGTGAGTGTTGACAACCGCAGATGTAGCCGGGACCAAAGCCTTTTGAAGTACGGAAGAGATAATACATTTATGGTCACCCATCCCATGACTAACCCTTGCGAAAATGTTTAACAACTGTATCGCAGACCGAACGCGCTAACCACGGCATCATCTAGTATCTAATTTCCCATCCAGTTATATACCACCTATACTGAATAAACGACATCCATTTTAATTTAAGAAATTGTGGTGTACCTCGGCGAAAGTGTTCAAGTATAAAGGGTAAAAAATTGTGCTCAGTGCAAGTGGTTTCGTAGTTCTAGTGAGCATTAGGAGTATAGTTTTGCGAACACTTATATCCGAATCATTCTCCCACCCGCATGCATAAATAGCTTCTCTAAGGTTGTGACTCTGAAATTAGAAACACTTACATTTAGTTAAACAAACGGATTCCCTTTACTTTCTGGCAATACTATTGACATTAGTTAATGAATTGCTAAATATTCTTTCTGCAACTTCAATAATATAACGCTTCATAAGAATTTAGAGATCCTTCGGTAATAAGGAGATAATGGAGATAATGTTTTTGCAATCGGCGCGGTTCTAAGTCGGATATTTAATAAAATGAATGAAAGTCGATCGAGTAAAGGCTATTAAACATAGTTTATTTGAAATTATGAAACCTAAAACGTCGTTTTCGCATAAATTTCGCGTAAATTTCGCATTATACTTTTTGTTTCGCAATTTGCTTGCAGTTTGAAGATTATTCTTTTGCATTACATTTGTTAAGAAAAATGACTCAAAAGTCAAAAGGTGGAACCAATTACACAGCTGAAGAAAAATTATTACTTGATATTGTGTTTCAATATCCAACTTACCACTGTGCCAGTTGCAAAGACATATCCATTATCTCTTTAATACTGAATGATGCTTTAAATTCTAATGAAATGTTATATTAATGATGCCTCACAAAGAATCTATCCGACTCCCACTGCTGGCTTTCCCAAAATGTACAAGCTGATTGATCCTGTGCTGTTTGCATCCAGCGGCTTTGCCAGCAATTTTTATAAAATGTTACCCTAACGGCTATCGGTTCTTCTAGTTATCTGCCCGGACCACTGCCAATTGAGCTAAGCAGTCCTTCGAGCAATGTCTTTGATCTTTTCCCACGGATCTTCTCTTACGGATTTCTATTACGATCACCTAGAGAAACAAGCATTGCTCTCTGCTTTGCCAGTCATATATGAATATGAAATACTTATTTTGTATGTTTATATAATAAAAATATTGCGTCATTCCATTAAAATTACATACATGTGTACAATTCAAATTGTTAGCATCCTCTTTTGAAGTCGAATAACTTTGAACATCACAAAAATAGTGTTATAAAATTATTACCCGATCCATGAGTACATCGCTGTAGTAGCTAGGCATATAAAAATGTAAAAGGGAGGCAAAGAATATTGACATACATTCCCAATTCACATATCTGCGTCTCAAATCCTGTTAAAAAATAAATTATAGTTATTGAATAAAATCCTTAAATATATCCATTAAAAAATATATATAAATTACCTCCAGAATTTGGAACATGCTGAGCGGTAATAGAAGTGTAGTTGCTTTAATATTTATTTCATATAAAAAAATACATTTTCCTTTTAAGTCTTCCACAATGCTGAAAAAAAAAACAGTAAGTATACAGTTATTGTGCTCATCCGAATTTTTATATTTAACTAGCGAAAGAAAAATTATTAAAAAGTTTAGGCCCCGTTTTTATTGTAATATAATTGAGTTTAAGGATATTTATTTCTATATTAATAATAAAACTGAAGAGTTTGTTTGTTTGAACTCTATAATCTCAGGAACTATTGGACTTAAAATATATATATATTTTTTTTTTGTGTTGAATACTCCATTTATCGAGAAAGGCTATAGGGTTATATATCATGCTAGGGCTTCTTCTTCTTCCTTCAACGGGCGTCTCCGCAACTCGACGACCAAATTGCGCCTATTTTGCGTGTGGAGGGTGTGTGGCCGGATACTACTCCAGCCAGCCCAGCTCTGCGGGACGGAACGCTTGACCGTTTCCCCTCTGGCGCTACCCAGAGGGGCTACCGTTTTGGTTGAAATCCGGACCAAAGAGGGCGTGTTGCGTTGCGAAGGTACTACCGCCGACCTCGCTTCGCTCAATCCCCCAAGACTCCTTCATCCCCCCTTACGACGATCAACTGCGCAGGCCTTAGCGCAGGAGGGGCTAGTTAGTCTATCGGCTGGCCCCCCACCCACCGATAGAACCGAGGCTTTTGTCGGTCAGCCTAAGGAGTTTTGTAGGGAAGGTAGGATCAGGGTAGGAAAATGTTTATCAGGAGTGGATCATGGGATACATAGGTATGAGGATTCCCTTTCCGTGTTGGAGTGCACTGGAAAGGTAGCAACAGATGATTTCGCTACTTGGATCCCAGGGTAGATGGCGTTGTGCGGTGCCTGTCAATGGCTCCAAGTATTACCGAGGTGAACGACGTGGACGTACACCTGTCACTTGACGGTAGATATATCCTGCTCAACACCGCACACTTGAGCATATACCAACCGCCCTTCACGCTAGGGCTTATATGAGTGAGCAACAATGAAAAATGTTGCAAAAACGTGAAAATATTTTTCTTTTTTAAACTTTCCTTGCGTGCGTTGCGTAAACAGTGAAAGTTACGCAATAATCATGAATTATAAAATTGATCCCCTTTTAAAGTTTGCGGCAGTATATGTCTATGTTATATCGTATCCCGAAAAAATCACATAAAGGGATGAAAATGGGAGTGGTAGTTTGTATAGTGCATTAAATCGTTACCATAGAAATCATTATTTACAATTCAATTTGTCATTGTAATTATATTTCATGTCATCCTTTTCCAAATTAATTATTGAATGATTAAAGCTCTTCACGCAGGATTAAATAATGTTTTAATTAATAAAAATCGGTACAATCGTTGTCACTAATATTTAATGCATCAATAAATGCAAATGTTGTTTATTAATTACACGAAAATCCACTGATACAGAGATAGCACTATTATACTTTTAATTTTTGTTACATTTGTAGTCTTTATTTTATCCCCATTTTTATCAAACAAAGTAGCTTTCATTTCAATTTAGTGATCGTTCCAATAACATAATTTAGTGGGAATTGAAAATTAAGCGAAAAAATAAAATGTTGCAATTAGCTGTTTTCGCTAGATGATACTACTGTATTATTAAAACGTGTTTTTTTTCTTTAATGTTTGTCGTCTTTATTGTTTTCCGATTTTTAGCAAACAAAGTTGCTTTCATTTTTAATTTTGCAGTTCCATAATCAACAAGGAACTTTATAGTTTCGTCATGTCTGTTTGTCTGTCCGTCGGTCTGCGGTTTAGCTCAAAAACAATTTGTATTAGAAAGGTGTAATTTAGCATGGTTTACTCTAAAATCACGCGGTAAAATAAAATCTTTAATGAAAAAATAATATGTTCCCATAGCGTGAGGTATCGTTGGATAGGTCTTTGAGAAATAACCGTTTTTCGATTTCGTTAATCGTTCATGACTTATCTAAGTTTCAAAGAGCCAACTTTCGTTAGAGTCCAAAGTCCTCCCTCTACCAACGAAACGCTTGTTGTTAGAAGCTCAACGTTACGGCAGTAGTGAATATAATTAATTTAAAAGATTTAAGTTTATGACATTATGACACTTATGTTTTATGACACTTATGTTAGATTTACAAATTTACAAGTAATAGTCGACCAAATGATTTAACAACTCCTTTGAAAAAAAACTGTTTTTGCGTTTTTCATCGATATCCATAAAAAAGCGCCAGAAATCGGGTCAATTCAGCGTTAGTGCGTTTGCCCGGTTTTTTTTAATAATATATTTTAGTGGAGAATTAATTCATCGGATGACAAAATAACGAGATACTTAACTGAAGGGTGTTAATTATGTTTGCGAAAAATGTTCTAAACTGGCGATAATTATGTAAATAGGACTTGAAATGGGCTACTAATGGTAGGAAACAGTTTTATATAAAATAGCTACTAAAATTCAAAGTATTAGAGTTAAATAATAGATTGGATGAGAAAAATACTGAGTAGATGAATACATACACGTTGGATACCTACAAATTTAAGAGATGGCAAAATATCCCTTGGCAAATTTTACGCACGTTACGTACTCAAATCTTTAAAAATACTGAATTGAGAAAGCAAAAACAAGCTGACCATCAAGTTGCTATGACAATCAGGCGTAAAATAAGACTTCAATGAAAGGTTTCCATAGTTGGTTCCATATATTGGGCAGGCCTATGTCCCAGCAGTGGGGACGTTGATGTCATAAAGGTGGATTCTAACTGGCAAATTTTGATTTATTATTGTAACATATTTTCTTTCAAGTGTTATTGATAACACTTACACTCTTGTCTTCATTAATTGTTATCTATCATTTACCATCCTATAGTTACCTGGAAGAAATCGCTTAAAGCGATAAGGCTATTAATTGTTATCTTATTTCGTAAAACTGTTTTAAATTTGTATCTTTAACTTATGTAATATTAACAATAAAGAATTTTCTATTCAATTTAATAAGAAAGTACTTACTTATATAACTCTTGTAACTTCACATTGATTTGTTTTAATTTTTCCTTTCTGTCTTGAGCGCATATGTCGGATCTGTGAGAGAATATTTCTAACATTCTTCTGCTGAGTATATCCAGTTGACCGCAAACATGTGTTAAAAATATGGGTATCAAAGGTTCAAACCCTATTAACATAACAGCGGTACAAACTCCGAAAATACACCAGAAAATAAATAATAAAGAAAATGTAGCTTGAGTCTCTTTAATTATTTCTAACCTGGTTGGGTACCTCAAATCAAATACGGGAACAAATTTGAATTCCGATATGAAGTAATAGTAACTCATCTCGAGTAACGCTGTCAAAGGGGCAGTAATATTCAACACTATATTTATAATCAACCAATATGTTGAAACTCTCGCGCCTTTTTTAGAATATTTTATTACTATCTCTTTCTCTTCAGGTATTTCTTTTTTAAATACTTCATAATCTTTATTTACCAAGTCGATGAAATCTTGAATGAGTTTTCTATTGTTAAATAAAAATAAATATTTAGTCATAATATTAATGGCTACGACACCTATGGCGCCATTCTTACTTGCTTCATAAAAATTTCCTGATGGAATATCGTAAAATAATACTGCATTTGAAGTAAATATAAAAACCACGAATGATACTGTGAAAAATATGAGACATCGAAATGCCCATAATATATTTATTCCTTTAAAGTGATACGTTCCGCCAAAACGAAGGGCTGTTGTTGTAACAAAAAAAGCTTTTTCGAAATTAAAATTGGAATTTTGCATTGTTTCCGTGATTTCAAATCGCCTTATATTGTAAAGTGATTCCATCAAGTTACAGACAAGTATACGTATCAGGTATCAAGTATATCTCTGTAACTGTATTTTCAGTCTGGTAAAGGGAATTATGTTTTGAAATGCTACTCAATAACGATATGACACTGAAAATTACATGTTGACGATTTGTTATGGGAAACTGTACAAAGAACCACCATGTGAATTTGACATCAGAAATGGCGTTTTACCCAATTATTAAATATGCTTAATTTTTTTTTATTTAATCGTATGGCGGTAAAGGTATTTGATATAAGGTATAACAACAAAGTATATACATTTTAAACCTATATTTTCGAATAACATGATTTTTTTATAAATCATTTACTTAAATGTAAATAAAAACATATATTTGATTTATAGTTAGACGACGTTTCGCCATCTCTGACATTCCAGGTACGATTACCGATCGGGTGAATGTAGAAAATGGACTTTTCTTTAATGTCTCTGATCTGGGTGTTGTGGTATCTTCGTTGTCTCAAATACTCTATAATACGGGGTTTTTAACTACTCATCTTGGAATCTGAACAACGTATGTGATGTTGTCTAATAATTATTTATTTATAATTTAAAAAGTATAAAATGTATATACACATTTTGAGAATAAAAATGGGCTAGTTGACAACTTTTTTTATTTTATAAATAAATAGTCCAACATCTGAAAAATAATGTAGAAGTATCGTATTTAGTATTACTCCAAATTCATATTATACAGAGAATAAGCAAACCTACAACCTTCTAGGATACCCCATTTGACACGGTTGGTCGGAATTGTTTTCATTTTGACAATATGGCGTCTGGTAGTTGCTATGGTGAATTTTGATTACTGTCATGTATTTATTGACCCACGCAAAGTTAAGACAAATCGATCGACGAATAACTCATCAAAATTGGCCAAGTCGTTTGGTCTGTACAATGCCATATAGGAACAAACATACATACGTACATAGACTCATGAATACATTACCCTCCTTTGCGAGAAAAGCGTAAAAAGCGAGAAGAGAGGATAAGATGGAAACTTCTTATAATAGAAAAAATATGTGATCTATAGCGGGCGCTGCTAGGCACAAAGAGACACGTAGCTGAGTGTGATTTACGAACGATATTTAGTCCGATTTACACCAACCAGTAAAATGTACAATCTATGTGTTTATATGATAGGAATATGTTTTGATTGTTTAGGATCAGTAAGAAATAAGATTAATTAAATATGTATTACAAATCGAGTCTACAGATTGATACAATAACAAAGCAAAATATTCGTGAGTTTATATAGATATGGTAATGTAATTATAATACCAGCATACGGGCAAGATGTAAATTTCAAGTTGAGGGCAAAATTGCAGGAGTAAAAAATATTAAGTTATAATAATGAACATAAATGCTACTATAAAACAAAGGGACATAATAAGGAAAGGGAGAACAGGAAATAATAAAGAAAGGTACATTTTTTTTTCAATTTCGCGAAGAAAAATACGACAAATCAGCTATAAAGACTGCTTACGATCTATGTCGTATTGTAAACAAGTACGTACGACAACTAGCCTTGCTCGAAGTTAATGTTCTCCGAAGGCACAAAACCAGTGGACGCGCTCCTTGTGAGACATTTCAACCGAAGGCAGCGTTACGTCAACATGTAGTTCTAGAATATTGAGATTTTTGTTTCGCGGCCGCTGCCGTCGCGAACGTAATATTATCTTCTAATAATTTTGTTTTTTTTTTTTATAATATTAAACGAATTTGAAATACTGTCCCCGTATTGGGTAAGTGTTGCATAATTTCTTATCAATTTAGCTGTTTTGTCCAATTTTATATTATGATTCTCAGCAATATATTGTATTTTAATTTAATTTATTTTTATTAACAGGCGTGTTTCAGTCCCATTTGAACACCTTGCAAATTATTATAACTGACTAAAAACTAATAAAATCTAGAATGATCTTTTGGGTGTGGCATTTCAAAATACCCATTTATTTCTTTAACATTTTCTTTTGCCTAATTATCTTGCCTGTTTGTCTGCTTCATTACTGATCAATCCACATAGTGTTATTCCAAATTTTCCTGCTTCTTACTTCACACCGCCTGAAGACCAGTGATGTCACAGCCAACCTTATGGCCGTGATAATATTTCTGTAATTTCATTAAGGGTGTTACAATATCCACTACATACAAAAGTGCAAGCATATAATGACCTCGAACGGTTCCGGCGATGCAACGTGACCATTTTTGCTGACGGCGCGACCACCGTTCCACGAGGCAGCGCTTTACGCCAGCGAATGGAATTTTTATAATAATTATTATTTCATTCTGATTCTAACATCGGTCAGAGTTAGTTATAAATTTAATTTGTAATTTTTTATCTTTAAATAAATATACTAAAAGTAATTTTGGTTTTTTTTGGATCCTCCGGCTGAGTCCTCTATAACTGGCGCAGTCGGTAGGATACTCGAGGCGTCTCGAGATAAAACTGGATAGGGTTTTCTCGCATCGAATCCCGTGTTCCGATAAATCGCTACCGTCGTCGCAAGCGATCGCGCGTCCGAGTATCCTGCAAAAGAACCTGAGGTTCCTGGTCGGGGGAAAAATCAAGACATCGACTCCAGAGGTACCAAAATGCAATTTATGTAAGTACACTGAAATCATTTCTGTGTTGCTTTCCTTTTTCCTTGTAAGTTTTTATAAGTCGTAAAAATTTTTTATCCTAGGCAAACTACTCCTAGAGGGCCTGCTCGTAGTAGGGAGGCTCGTAGAATAGATTTAGATGTATATAGAGAGTTAAGTGATTTTTTTAATAATACTGTCGAATCATTAGAGTCAATCAATTTTAAATAAGATTACTGGACCAGCTGCGCGAATAATCAATTCAAACGGGATAACCGAGAATTGGGAGTGTATTAGAACCACACTCATAAATAATTTTTCCGATCAAAGAGATGAGACCGCTCTTTATAACGATCTTATGTTAGCCACTCAAGGAAATAGTTCGCCACAGGAATTTTATGACCGCTGTGTTAACTTATTCAGCACTATCATGACCTATGTTAGACTCCATGAAATTATAGAAACAACTGTTGAAGCGAAACGTTCCTTATATAAAAAGTTAACAATGCAGGCATTTGTGCGCGGTTTGAAAGAGCCATTAGGCTCTCGTATACGATGCATGCGTCCTGATAGTGTTGAGAAAGCCTTAGAGTTCGTGCAAGAGGAATTGAACGTTATGTATCTTCAAAATCGCGTTGATCCGTCATCAGATAGAAAGCCACAGGCTCCAAAGATTGTTCCAATGAACCCCGTCGCTATGCCTACTTTCAAACCGTTCAATTTCCCTTCACAACCTCCACCTAGAAGTTATAATAACTGGCAGCCATTTGCGCCACAACCCATGTGGAAACAAAATGTTCAAGTTCATGCACCACCTCAATTTAGGCCTCCTGGTATGCCTTCACGTACGCAACAAATGTTCAGGGCACCTCCACCAAATTATAACTCTTACCAGAACCGTTTCCAAATGCCACCTAGGAACGAAACCCAGGGTCAAGGGCCCAAACCAATGAGTGGCGTCAGTCATTACGTGGTTAAGGAACGACCACAACTGTCAGGGCATGATTGGCGTAAGCACGGCAACCCACCGCCGTCTAATTATTTTAAGAGTAGAGAAATGAATATGAACGAAATTTCCAATTATAATGATTTTTACAGTGACGAATATTATAACTATAATGAACCACATGATTATTATTATTACGCGGGGAATTTAGAATATTATAACTCCGAACCTTATTTCAATATATGTGAGCCGACGTATGAATATGATCCAGTCAATGAAGGCTCCTCGAGTACGGTAGATGATTCCGAACCTAGCACTAGTTCAGCTAGCGATCAGGATTTTCGGAAACGCGGAAAGTCAAACAAGTCAAAATAGAGTTAAATTTGCAATCTCAAAGACAACTCCCATATATACAGATAGCTGAGCCACCCCTAAAATTCTTAATCGATACCGGCGCAAACCAATCATTTCTAAGTCCGGATGCTGTAGAGCGTTTTTATAATAATACATCTTTAACTTTCGATCCGTTTGAGGTAACTAATGTGCACGCTACTACTCGTAATAATTACTCTATAACTATTCCTTGCTTTACAGAGTTTAATGAACCTGAACACACAAAATTTTTTATCTATAATTTTCACGAATATTTTGATGGACTTATTGGGCTAGATCTTTTACAAAAATGGGAAGCTAAAATCGATTTAAAAGATAAATTATTAATAACACGCAATTCCGAAAATCCTATTCACATGTATAACTCGCGAAACCTTAACTTATATGAAGATATGATCCCAGCGAACTCAACGAAATTAGTTAGATTACTCTTAACATGTATGATAGTGACGCTTTTATTGAAGAACAGATTATATCTAATTGCATTATTAATCAATGTTTAACTACCGTTAAAGATAACCGTGGACTCTTAGAAGTCACAAACCCAACCTCACATGATTTAATTTTTTGTATGGACCATGCTGTTAGGGCCGAACTGTTTAATGTTGAGTGCACACGTACCGAACAATCACATACGCGAGCGCAGGAAGTACTATCACGTTTACGGACTAGTCATCTTAACCCGGAAGAGCGCGCTAATTTAGAAGCTTTATGTGAAAAATATGCTGATGTATTTTATCTGGACGGTGAATCTTTGACATTTACAAATAAGATAAAACATAAAATTAGAACGACCGACGAGATCCCGGTATATAGTAAAAATTATAGATATCCATATATACACCGCGACGAAGTTAGTAGTATCAAACCAAATCCTGACAAAATTTCAGCGATACAAAATTATCCATTACCACGAACACCCAAAGAGATTAAACAGTTTCTTGGACTTGTTGGATATTACAGGAAATTTATACCAGATTTTGCACGCATTACTAAACCGCTTACTCAATGTCTAAAAAAGGG